TCAGACCTCACTGGAAAACTAATAAGATTTGATTTCCCTGTTCTTTGCACTTCTGAACATTGTCAAGTAACTGTGGATTTAATCCTTTTAAAGCTGTGCTTTGGACTACTTAGAGTTTGCAGAAGCGTGGTGTGGTCTGGTGTGGTCTGTTAACACAAATGCTAAATTGTGCCATTCCCTTTTTGTGGTTCATGGAGGAAGGAAAATCCCTCTCTTCCTCTGAGCAGTTAGCACCAGAATTTAAGCTGGTGACTGCATATCAATTCTGGGTTGTAAGGTCAGTTAGCAAAGCTATAGTAGACTTGCACATATCTTGCTGACTTCACAGTAATAAAGCACAGGAAGGTGAAGTGACTGCTTGAACAGGCAGGTGAGGCTTTGAAAGTCTCTCACGATGATACTGCTGTTTTCTTACGCTGTTGATTTCTGACAGTGTTCAGCCTGCTGCTGGACTTGGTTCTGTCTTTGTCAGTGGGCAGCAGTATAAAGGTAGGCTAGAATTCAGATACAGGAACAAGAGACTTGAGGAAAAAAATATATATTTTTTAAATTTCTTTTGAAGGGGAGAAAAGTTTGCTTGGTTGCAGTTAAAGCTGAGTTTTAACAACAACTTTTTAAATTATTTTGACAAACCTTACCTCTAAAAATCTTCCTCCAGGGTTCACAGCCCTTTCGAATATTCTCAGGATACAAAGTCAGTTTTTAAAATGCTGGGAGACACCTGAACTTGCTTTGAAAGGGGATAGCTTTTAGATTCAGGATTAATTTAAATTAGTTACTGCAAAGGCAAAACTGTTCATTGCTTTCCTGTTCTTGAACACTGTATTGGCTTGGATTGTTGGGAATTTAACAGTTTTAATTTTTTCTTCCAAATAATTGTGAACTCTAATACTGCTACACTAAGTTTAGCTGTATTGAAGCCTTGATTTTCTGTTGAATAGTCTCCTGTTGGGCAAGCAGAACTGCACAGGCTCAGACAGCACACTTGTAATTATAAAATATACCTGAATTACATTAATAGGAGAATGTTATGAAACAGCTGAAGTGAAATTATGTACCTTAGATGAAATTACTTATTTTACTGTCTTAGCTATTTGAAAACGGGCATTTGTAGTCTAAACAACCTTTTCCATCTTTAAAAAGCAAACAAACAAAATCAAAATCCCAACAATCAAACCAACAAAATAGCCCCCCAAACCTGTAGAATTGATGTCTGTTTATTTAAAAAAACCCAACCAACCAAAAAAACCCAACAAAAACTTAGGGAAGTGAGATGACCTTCCTTGTTTAGAATGTAAATCCCTATACAATAAATGACCTTATGAACGTTGGTTTTAGTTACCTGCTTTATATGGCACCACAATATATTACTGGGTGGATTCTAACCACATGTTCCTCCCTGATTTTAAGGAGCAGTAGTTCATAAATACCACTCCTTACAGATGACCAAGTAAGAAAAACAACTTCAGTACTCTGCAGCCTCTCAGCTATCCTTACTTTGTTGAAGATGGACATGATCCTTCACATCGGCTTAAAGTGACATTTGCAGAACAGCCTTTGTAAGTTATTTTTTCTTCATATTCAACTTCTCTACAACGGTCTGTCAAATGTAAAAAAAAAAGAAAGAATTAGGGCAGAAATTTATCTTGATCTTCTTGAGTGACCTTTGTTAGATACCAGAAGCCTCCATACCTGGTTGCGTGGAAAGCCATTCTTACTGCATGAGATAATTAAATCACAAGTGACTAACACAGCAAGAGGAGGTTTTAAACTGGGCCCTGAAGATGCATGAGACGCTTACCATGGAGGACAACTAAGAACAGAGAGGTTGGTGGAATTACAAATGAGCAAAAAAAATCCTGTTAAGAACATAGTACAGATTCAGTCCAGCAGGAAAAAACTAATCCTCTGCTGAGAACACAAAGATGCATGTAAAACAACCAGCTGTCTCATTCTGGTGGAGTTATTTCTGGTTCTCAGACTTTGTAGTAGATTTTACTTACTAGAAAAATGCTTAGCTTACTCATTTTAAGGATGTATTTTTTGTAGACAGACATAAGTTCACTACTTTCCTTACAAGACAGAATGCCTAATGCCTCATAGCAGGTAATGATTAAATGTACCAATCTCATATTTTCTCCTGACTTGAAGCATGACACTTAAGCACTGTATGAAGCTGAAAGCTGACTGAAAACATAGGTTTTCCAAGGAGTTTAAACACAGTGTTTGAAGTTTATTTTAAGGACAACAAAGATGTTGAATACTACAAAGGCCATTCATGCACCACTCACACATGCTCCTGCACAAGGATCTCTTGAGCACATTCAGGTTCTGTGGTTAAAGAAAGGTTACAGAAGAAACCTGAACACTATTGCAGGGAAGACTCAGTTAATAGTGTAGTATATGTTTGGGATTTTCTTACTGGAAAATGGCAAGCAGGGTCAAATCCTGCCTCCTTGGGTCAAACTGTCATTTCCCAATGCTCGAGCAGTCAGTCAGTTTGAGGCTCTTTTTCTGCTAAAACTGAAATGAGCCTCTTTTTGGTACTGCAGCACTTGTGTGACAGCAGGATGAAGGACAGACTTGCATTTATTCATTTCTCTGTGAGTAGGTAATTCTGCCATGCCTTGTGGCTGAGCTGACTGACCTGGCCAAGCTGCCCTCTGACAATGTTAATGGTGGAAATGGAAATGGAAGGTTCAGCTACAGGTAACTGTACCCACCGTCGTATATTGATTCTCACATCGCTCTTTGAGAGTAGTAGTTAACCACAAATACAGTTTTCTTAAATGACTATTTGGAACCTTTTGTATAAATCAGTGTTCTGGATTAAGACTGATGTCTTGGTTGAATGGAGCATGGTATTCTGCTTTGTTCATTTTTCCTTCCTGTTAGAGCCAATTTCCTGGTTCAGTGGATCTGACTGTAATGACAAAATGAAGAACTTTGTGTGAGGACTCACAACTAAGGAAGTAGCATATTTGTCTGTGGAAAAGTTTTGAACACGTGCTTCAAAAAGATACAAATACTTATAATCTCATTATTAAGCAGGGTAGAAAAGGGGCAGACCTACTAGGATGCCTCCCTCCTGATTCTTGACAAAGATAAGGCAAGTGAAGAATGTAGATTTTCGCAAGCAAGACTGTGCTTTCTTTAGGATTTAAACACACAGAAAAGGAGAACAAGCAGTGAAGGCAGCATATGACAACGGAGAAGGCAATAGGGAACAAGGCAGTATGATGTGGCTGAAGTACACATTCCACACAGTTTCTCCTTTCTATGTTGAAAGCTCCCAAAAGAGAATGCAAAGTAGCTCAAATTGAGATGTTAACTCTTCTCTTGGTCCTCAAACAGTAGTTAAAACAAATCAACACCCAAAAAGAAACCATACAGTAAACCTACCTTCCATTCATAGATTGAACAGTGCATGTGTCACTCTGGTTTATTCTTAGAAGGTGTTAAACCATATCCTAGAAAGCACTGATTAAAAACTGCCTCACTGTTTCTAAATAAGAGTAGAAACTAGGCCTCTGCTACTTATACAGGGTACAGTTACAATCTTAGACACCTCTTGTGCATCCACACCATGTTCCTGACTCCTATACTGTAGATCCTAAAGTAGGACAGTTCCATTTCAAAGCAGTAGATAGATATTCCTTTGTGTGCATCACTTTACATGAAATGGTGTGGAAATTATAGAAAGTAGTATTCCTTCAATTTAAAAAAAATTAGGTGATCAATTATGCACAGCAACCAAACAAAAATATCTCTACCTTAAAAACTGTGGAAACAGTATCCAGCAGAAGAGGTAACAAAAATGCTGAACTGTGCAGGGTATATGAGAGCTAACAAGAGGGCTGCAGGGTAAGTCAGAAGATACCTTCTATTTGGACAGGCTGTCTTTCTTACAGTGCTTTTGAAGATCAGGAAATAGAGGTTCTGGACTCCTGATCTACATCCCGTCAGACTCTTTAACTCGTGCTTTTTAATGTCTACAGTATTGTATAGCAGGGAACCAGCTTGTGAAATCTAAGACATCAGACAACTACTCAACAAAAAATAATTGCATAAGGGACAAAAAGAAAAGATGGAGCCATTGGGTACAAGTTGTATCATAAAGAATGTGTAAAGAAAAAAGTCATGCAGTCGTTAAAAAAAAAAAAAGGTATTAAAAGCATGGTATAGGAAATGCTATGGATATACATTACCATGTGGAACTGTCACTGGCACAATAGAAGACAAGGATGTCGAGAGTCTAGAGGTGAAAGAAGATGATGTTGTGCGGGCAGTGGTTAATGTTGTTGTTTGCAAGGTGCTCCTTTCAACAGACTCTGTAGAAGCAGTAGTGATCACTAGGGGAGCGAATGTCGTTGTTGTAGATAAAACAGTCGGGACCAACAGTGGAGTGGATTTGGCAGAGATACTGGAAGGAATGGCTAATGAAGATGTTTTGCCATATGGAGAAAATGTGGTATTTTGGAAGGAAGAATATGGAGTACTCTCAGCAGACCTAAACGTGGAAGTAGTGAGGGGTGTAGGTGTAGGCACTGTGCTGACGGTTGGGGCCAAAGAAGAGAACGTAGATGAGGCAGTTGATGGCAGCTGTGTGCTGAGTGGGCTGCTGGGGGCAGGCGAAGAGCTGGGATTTGGAGATGTTGTTGCCAGAGGGAGTTCTGTGCTGCTTGGTGGGCTGGTCTCTGTGGTGACAGAGGTCTTGGAGGTGCTGCTGATGGAGGTGGAGGCCGTGGTCTTGTGTGTGGTCAGAGGTGGCTCAATATGTGGCACTGTTGACTTGTGGGTGACGGCTGTTGGGAGGAAAAGCACAGGTCAGTTGGGGATGAGGGAAAAGGAGGTGGGCAGAAGCCTTGGGCTAAGGCAATGAGCAAGAAGGCAGCCCTATGTTGCACCGTGTATTCCTGCAAAAGAGGGAGGTTTAGACTTCTGCCTCCATCCATAAGCCTCCACGTCACGCTTCGACTCAGTGATGGCCCCTTGGTGTGCTAGGCGATGGTGGGGTGACCCTGCTGAATGTAAAGTGCCCACCCAGCCACTCACTCACTCCCCCTCTTCAGGCATTGTGGAGAGAACTGCAAATACCAAAGCAAGAATAGGCTAGTGTGTCTGGATAAAGACAGTTTTTAGAAGAGAAGACAGTAAAGGAAAAACAAAGCAACACCCACTCACGAGGTGCAAAGACAGTCATTCACTCCTTCCCACCACTGGCCACTGCCCAGCCAGTCTCCAAGCAATGGCTACTTCCAAAAACTGCCCTGCCCCTCCATTGCACTGCTCAGCATGACTTTCTGTGGCATGGAGTGTCTCCTTGGCCACTGGCTTTGGGCTATGCTGGCTGAGTCCCTGAGGGACCTCATGGCCACTCCTTGCCCACTCCCTGGCTGGCAGGAGGAAAAACACAGGTGGCCTGGATGCTGTGCTAGCACTCCTCAGCAATCTCTAAAGCATTTGTGTGCCATTAACACTGCCTAGGAGCAACAGATAAAACAGCACCAGGAACCCTGCTGGGAACAGAAATTGGCTCCAACCCAAGCAGAGTCATTGCACAGGCCCAGGACTACACCAGGAACCAGGCTGGCAGTGGGAATGGAGGGCTGAGAATTGAAAAAAGTGCACAAGTGGGGTGTGGTCCTTGGATGGAATGCTGGAGGCAGAGATGGATGGATGGATTGGACAGATGGAAGGAAGGAAGAGAGCAGGGAATATTAGGTGGGAGCAGCAGGAAGGTGGTTCTGAGCCTTACTGGGCTGTGAGGAGCTCATCCACGTTGAGGACACAGTGGAGGAGGCAGAAGGAGCAGGTGATGGCACTGTGCTGGTTTTGGCTGTGGTGGGTGCAGAGGACTCTGTTGTAGGAGACTCCTGTGGAGCACTTGCCCTTGGGGACGAGGGTTTGGGCCTCAGGGTTGTGGGTGTAGGCGTGGGGCTGGTGCTTGGAGCTGCTGTGGAATAGAGTGTGGAAGTGGGAGCAGATGGCAGCCGGGTGCTGAGTGGGCTGCTGGGGGCAGGCGGAGAGCTGGGATTTGGAGATGTTGTTGCCAGAGGGAGTTCTGTGCTGCTTGGTGGGCTGGTCTCTGTGGAGACAGAGGTCTTGGAGGTGCTGCTGATGGAGGTGGAGGCCGTGGTCTTGTGTGTGGTCAGAGGTGGCTCAATGTGTGGCTCGGTTGACCTTTTATGGGTGACGGCTGTTGGGAGAAAAGCACAGGTCAGTTGGGGAATGAGGGCAAGAAGGGAAGGCAGAGGAGGTGGGCAGAAGCCTTGTCTAATGCATTGGGTAAGAAGGGCAGCTCCATATCACACTGAATCTCTTTGTCCAAGATAGAAGATTGGGCATCTGGCTCATTTTTGAAGCCTCCATGTCCTGCTTAGATCCTGTCATGGCCAATGTGTGTGCCAGGTGATGGTGGGGTGACCTGGCCGCATGCAAAGTGCCTACCCAGCCACTCACTCACTGCCACTCCTCAGACATGGGAATAGAAATGAAGAGGCCAAAGCACCAATACCCACACTTTTCAGGGTAGAAGCAATTTTCAGAAGTGAAGAAACTAAAGGAAAAATGAACCCAGACCCACCCATGAGGTGCAGTGGCAGTCACTCACTGCCTCACTCTGCTGGCCAATGCCCAGCCAGTCTCCAAGCAATGGCTACTTCCAAAAACTGCCCTGCCCCTCCATTGCACTGCTCAGCGTGACTTTCTGTGGCATGGAGCGTCTCCTTGGCCACTGGCTTTGGGCTATGCTGGCTGTGTTCCTGAATGACCTCATGGCCACTCCTTGCCCACTCCCTGGCTGGCAGGAGGAGAAACACTGGTGGCCTGGATGCTGTGCTAGCACTCCTCAGCAATCACCAAAGCATTTGTGTACCATCAACACTGGCTCGGATCCACAGCTAAAACACAGCACCAGGAACCCTGCTAGGAACAGAAATTGGCTCCACCCCAAGCAGAGTCACTGCCCAGGACTTCATCTGGAATGAGGCTGGCCAAAAGCAGTGGGAATGAGGGGCCCAACACCCAAACAAATGCCCAAGTGAGATGTGGTTCTTAGATGGAAGGATACAAGGAAGGAGAGAAAGAAGGGAGGGATGGAGGGCCAGAGCAAGCAACGAAGGGAGGGAGCAATGGAGGGAGCTGGGAAAAGCAGGCAGATGAGGTCCAGAAGAGAGATACAAAGATGATCAGTGGACTGAAGGCGATCTCTAAACATGATCAGTGGAGAGACCTGGGGAGCTGGGCCTGTTGAATCCTGAGAAGAGAAGGCTGAGCTGGGATCTCATCATTGGATACAAATATCTCAAAGGCAGGTGCCAAGAGCATGGAGGCAGACTTTTTTTGGTGGTGCCCAGTGACAGAACAAGGAGCAATGGCCATGGAATGAAACACAAGAAGTTTCACTCAGCCTGAGGAACAATTTCTTTACACTGAGAGGAGCAGAGCAGTGGAACAGGCTCTCTCCAGGGAGAATGTGGAATCTCCTGCTCTGGAGACATTCAAAACCCATCTGGACACATTCCAGTCTAACCTGCACTAAGAGACACCTTCTTGGCAGGGGTGGACTAGATGATGTCCAGAGGTCCCTTCCAACCCTAACAATTCTGGGATTCTGTGAGCAGCAGGACATGAAGCAGTGAGTCTTACCAGGCTGTGAGGAGCTCAGCCATGTTGAGGACACAGTGGAGGAGGCAGAAGGAGCAGGTGATGGCACTGTGCTGGTTTTGGCTGTGGTGGGTGCAGAGGACTCTGTTGTAGGAGACTCTTGTGGAGCACTTGTCATGGGGGAAGAGGGCTTGGGCCTCAGGGTTGTGGGTGTAGGCGTGGGGCTGGTGCTTGGAGCTGCTGTGGAATAGAGTGTGGAAGTGGGAGCAGATGGCAGGCGGGTGCTGAGTGGGCTGCTGGGGGCAGGCGAAGAGCTGGGATTTGGAGATGTTGTTGCCAGAGGGAGTTTTGTGCTGCCTGGTGGGCTGGCCTCTGTGGAGACAGAGGTCTTGGAGGTGCTGCTGATGGAGGTGGAGGCTGTGGTCTTGTGTGTGGTCAGAGGTGGCTCAATGTGCGGCTCGGTTGACCTTTTATGGGTGAAGGCTGTTGGGAGGAAAGCACAGGTCAGCTGGGGAAGAGGGAAAGAGGGGAAGGCAGAGGAGGTGGGCAGAAGCCTTGTCTAATGCGTTGGGTAAGAAGGGCAGCTCTATATCACATTGAGTCTCTTTGTCCAAGATGGAAGATTGGGCTTCTGGCTCCTTTCTGAAGCCTCCATGTCCTGCTTAGATCCTGTCTAAGTGTATGCCAGGTGATGGTGGGGTGACCTGGCTGCATGCAAAGTGCCTACCCTGCCACTCACTCACTGCCACTCATCAGACATGGGAATAGAAATGAAGAGGCCAAAGCATCAATACCCACACTTTTCAGGGTAGAAGCAATTTTCAGAAGTGAAGAAACTAAAGGAAAAATGGACCCAGACCCACCCATGAGGTGCAAAGGCAGTCACTCACTGCCTCACTCTGCTGGCCAATGCCCAGCCAGTCTCCAAGCAATGGCTACTTCCAAAAACTGCCCTGCCCCTCCATTGCACTGCTCAGCATGACTTTCTGTGGCATGGAGCGTCTCCTTGGCCACTGGCTTTGGGCTATGCTGGCTGTGTCCTTGAGGGACCTCATGGCCACTCCTTGCCCACTCCCTGGCTGGCAGGAGGAGAAACACAGGTGGCCTGGATGCTGTGCTAGCACTCCTCAGCAATCACCAAAGCATTTGTGTACCATCAACACTGGGTCAGACCTGCAGCTAAAACACAGCACCAGGAACCCTGCTAGGAACAGAAATTGATTCCACCCCAAGCAGAGTCATTGCACAGGCCCAGGACTTCATCTGGAATGAGGCTGGCCAAAAGCAGTGGGAATGGGGGGCCCAACACCCAAACAAATGCCCAAGTGAGATGTGATTCTTAGATGGAAGGATACAAGGAAGGAGAGGGAGGGAAGGATGGAGAAATGCAGGGAGCGATGGAGGGAGCTGGGAAAAGCAGGCAGGAGAGGCCCAGGAGAGAGATACAAAGATTATTAGTGGACTGGAGCATCTCTCATATTTGGAGAGACCTGGGGAGCTGGTCCTGTTGAATCCTGAGAAGAGAAGGCTGAGACAGGATTTCATCGTTGTATACAAATATCTCAAAGGCAGGTGCCAAGAGCATGGAGGCAGACTTTTTTTGGTGGTGCCCAGTGACAGAACAAGGAGCAATGGCCATGGAATAAAACACAGGAAGTTTCACTCAGCCTAAGGAACAACTTCTTTACACTGAGGGAGCAGCTGAAGAGGCTCCTCAGGGAGATTGTGAAGTCTCCCTGTCTGGAGACATTCAAAACCCATCTGAAATGAATTCCAGTGTAACCTGCATTAAGAGACACCTTCTTGGCGGGGGGGGGGTGGTCTGGATGATGTCCAGAGGTCCCTTCCAATCCTAATAATTCTGGGATTCTGAGAGCAGTGGGACAAGAAGGAGTGAGTCTTACTAGGCTGTGAGGAGCTCAGCCATGTTGAGGACACAGTGGAGGAGGCAGAAGGAGCAGGTGATGGCACTGTGCTGGTTTTGGCTGTGGTGGGTGCAGAGGACTCTGTTGTAGAAGACTCTTGTGGAGCACTTGTCATGGAGGAAGAGGGCTTGGGCCTCAGGGTTGTGGGTGTAGGCGTGGGGCTGGTGCTTGGAGCTGCTGTGGAATAGAGTGTGGAAGTGGGAGCAGATGGCAGCCGGGTGCTGAGTGGGCTGCTGGGGGCAGGCGAAGAGCTGGGATTTGGAGATGTTGTTGCCAGAGGGAGTTCTGTGCTGCTTGGTGGGCTGGTCTCTGTGGAAACAGAGGTCTTGGAGGTGCTGCTGATGGAGGTGGAGGCCGTGGTCTTGTGTGTGGTCAGAGGGGGCTCAATGTGCGGCTCGGTTGACCTTTTATGGGTGACGGCTGTTGGGAGGAAAGCACAGGTTCAATGAGGGTGAGAGCAAGAGGTGAAGGTAAAGCAGGAGGGCACAATCCACACACTTGAAAAACAAGCAAAGAGTGCAGTGCTGTCCTGCACTGATTATTCCTCTGAAAGAGGGAGGACTGGGACTGTGGCTCCTGTCCACAAGCTGCTACCTGGTTCCTTCCCCAGAAAGGGAGAAAATGGACAGGGTGCCTTCCTAACCTCTGCCTCTTCCTAGAAAGTATCATTTCTGGATTTACATGCCTCTTCCTTCAAGGAATGGGCAGAGCATAAGGACTATCCACCTTAGAGACGGGCACACCAAGATACTTGGGAGAGTCACGTGCCCTGTGGCCATAGCAAAGGACAGCCATACCACAGTGCTGATGTGGAAAGGACTGGGAATGGAGAGCAAAAACTGAAACAACAGTGCAAGGGACCTGCACAGCTAGAAATGAAGGTGGGAAAAGGGAGAGCAGGCAGAAGCAGCAGGACTTGTAGCAGGCAGGCTTACCAGGCTGTGAGGAGCTCAGCCTTGTTGAGGACACAGTGGAGGAGGCAGAAGGAGCAGGCGATGGCACTGTGCTGGTTTTGGCTGTGGTGGGTGCAGAGGACTCTGTTGTAGGAGACTCCTGTGGAGCACTTGTCATGGAGGAAGAGGGTTTGGGCCTCAGGGTTGTGGGTGTAGGCGTGGGGCTGGTGCTTGGAGCTGCTGTGGAATAGAGTGTGGAAGTGGGAGCAGATGGCAGCCGGGTGCTGAGTGGGCTGCTGGGGGCAGGCGAAGAGCTGGGATTTGGAGATGTTGTTGCCAGAGGGAGTTCTGTGCTGCTTGGTGGGCTGGTCTCTGTGGAAACAGAGGTCTTGGAGGTGCTGCTGATGGAGGTGGAGGCCATGGTCTTGTGTGTGGTCAGAGGTGGCTCAATGTGTGGTTCGGTTGACCTTTTATGGGTGATGGCTGTTGGGAGGAAAGCACAGGTCAGTTGAGAATGAAGGCAGGAGGCAAAGACAAAGGAGGTGAGCAGAAGTCTTGGACTAAGGAACTGGGCAAGAAAAGGAGCCCTGTATCGCACTGAGTCTCTTTGGCCAGGATTTTGGCCTCCGGGTCCTTCTTGGAGCCTCTGCGTCCCACTTAGATCCTGTCATGGCCAGTGTGTGTGCCAGGTGATGGTGGGATGACCTGGCTGCATGCAAAGTGCCTACCCAGCCACTCACTCACTGCCACTCATCAGACATGGGGAGAGAAGTGAAGAGGCCAAAGCATCAATATCCACACTTTTCAGGATAGAAGCAATTTTCAGAAGTGAAGAAACTAAAGGAAAAACGAACCCAGACCTACCCATGAGGTGCAGTGGCAGTCACTCACTGCCTCACTCTGCTGGCCAATGCCCAGCCAGTCTCCAAGCAATGGCTACTTCCAAAAACTGCCCTGACCACTCCTTGCCCACTCCCTGGCTGGCAGGAGGAGAAACACTGGTGGCCTGGATGCTGTGCTAGCACTCCTCAGCAATTTCTAAAGCATTTGTGTGCCATCAACACTGGCTCGGATCCACAGCTAAAACACAGCACCAGGAACCCTGCTAGGAACAGAAATTGGCTCCACCCCAAGCAGAGTCATTGCCCAGGACTTCATCTGGAATGAGGCTGGCCAAAAGCAGTGGGAATGAGGGGCCCAACACCCAAACAAATGCCCAAGTGAGATGTGGTTCTTAGATGGAAGGATAAAGGTAAGGAAAGGAGGGAGGCAGGGAGGGAAGGAGAGTAGAAGGAAGGGAAAACAGCAGGGAGGGGGTGGAAAAGGGATGGAGGGAGCTGGGAAAAGCAGACACAAGATGTGTAGAAGAGGCACACAAAAATGATCAATGGATTCTAGCGTCTTTCATATTTGGACAGACTGTTGATAGGCCTGTTGAGTCTAGAGTAGAGAAGACTGAGAGGGGATCTCATCATTGTATACTAGTATCTCAAAGGCAGATGCAAAGTGGATGTTGACACTTTCATGTTGGCACCCAGCAACAGGACAAGGGACTAAAATAAACTAAAACACAAAAGGTTTAATTAACCCAAGGAACAACTTCTTTACACTGAGGATGGCAGAGCAGTGGAACAGCCTCGCCAGGGAGATTGTGGAAACTCCCTCTTTGGAGACATTCAAAACCCATCTGGATGCATTCTCTTAGCATAACCAACACTAAGAGACCCCTTTTTTTAGCAGGGGTGTTGGACTAGATGATGTCCAGAGGCCCATAAAACCCTAAGAATTCTGGAATTCTGTATGCAGTGGGACATAAAGGAGTGAGTCTTACTGGGCTGTGAGGAGCTCAGCCATGTTGAGGACACAGTGGAGGAGGCAGAAGGAGCAGGCGATGGCACTGTGCTGGTTTTGGCTGTGGTGGGTGCAGAGGACTCTGTTGTAGAAGACTCTTGTGGAGCACTTGTCATGGGGGAAGAGGGCTTGGGCCTCAGGGTTGTGGGTGTAGGCCTGGGGCTGGTGCTTGGAGCTGCTGTGGAATAGAGTGTGGAAGTGGGAGCAGATGGCAGCCGGGTGCTGAGTGGGCTGCTGGGGACAGGTGAAGAGCTGGGATTTGGAGATGTTGTTGCCAGAGGGAGTTCTGTGCTGCTTGGTGGGCTGGTCTCTGTGGAGACAGAGGTCTTGGAGGTGCTGCTGATGGAGGTGGAGGCCGTGGTCTTGCGTGTGGTCAGAGGTGGCTCAATGTGTGGTTCGGTTGACCTTTTATGGGTGACGGCTGTTGGGAGGAAAGCACAGGTCAGCTGGGGAAGAGGGAAAGAGGGGATGGCAGAGGAGGTGGGCAGAAGCCTTGTCTAATGCGTTGGATAAGAAAAACAAGTCCATATCACACTGAGTCTCTTTGTCCAAGATGGAAGATTGGGCTTCTGGCTCCTTTCTGAAGCCTCCATGTCCTGCTTAGATCCTGTCATGGCCAATGTGTGTGCCAGGTGATGGTGGTGTGACCTGGCTGCATGCAAAGTGCCTACCCAGCCACTCACTCACTGCCACTCATCAGACATGGGAATAGAAGTGAAGAGGCCAAAGCATCAATATCCACACTTTTCAGGATAGAAGCAATTTTCAGAAGTGAAGAAACTAAAGGAAAAACGAACCCAGACCCACCCATGTAGTGCAATGGCAGTCACTCACTGCCTCACTCTGATGGCCAATGCCCAGCCAGTCTCCAAGCAATGGCTACTTCCAAAAACTGCTCTGCCCCTCCATTGCACTGCTCAGCATGACTTTCTGTGGCATGGAGCATCTCCTTGGCCACTGGCTTTGGGCTATGCTGGCTGTGTCCCTGAAGGACCTCATGGCCACTCCTTGCCCACTCCCTGATTGGCAGGAGGAGAAACACAGGTGGCCTGGATGCTGTGCTAGCACTCCTCAGCAATCTCTAAAGCATTTGTGTGCCATCAACACTGGCTCAGACCCACAGCTAAAACACAGCACCAGGAACCCTGCTAGGAACAGAAATTGGCTCCACCCCAAGCAGAGTCATTGTCCAGGACTTCATCTGGAATGAGGCTGGCCAAAAGCAGTGGGAATGGGGGGCCCAACACCCAAACAAATGCCCAAGTGAGATGTGGTTCTTAGATGGAAGGATACAAGGAAGAAGAGAAAGAAGGGAGGGATGGAGGGCCAGAGCAAGCAACGAAGGGAGGGAGCAATGGAGGGAGCTGGGAAAAGCAGGCAGATGAGGTCCAGAGGAGAAATGCAAAGATGATCGGTGGACCGAAGGTGACACATAAACATGATCAGTGGAGAGACCTGGGGAGCTGGACCTGTTGAATCCTGAGAAGAGAAGGCTGAGCTGGGATCTCATCATTGGATACAAATATCTCAAAGGCAGGTGCCAAGAGCATGGAGGCAGACTTTTTTTGGTGGTGCCCAGTGACAAAACAAGGAGCAATGGCCATGGAATAAAGCACAAGAAATTCTACTCAGCATAAGGAACAATTTCTTTACATTGAGAGGAGCAGAGCAGTGGAACAGGCTCTCTCCCCATGGAGAATGTGGTATCTCCTGTTCTGGAGACTTTCAAAACCCATCTGGACACATTCCAGTCTAACCTGCACTAAGAGACACCTTCTTGGCAGGCAGATAATGATGTCCAGAGGTCCCTTCCAACCATAACAAGTCTGGGATTCTTTGAGCAGCAGGACATGTAGCAGGCAGGCTTACCAGGCTGTGAGGAGCTCAGCCATGTTGAGGACACAGTGGAGGAGGCAGAAGGAGCAGGTGATGGCACTGTGCTGGTTTTGGCTGTGGTGGGTGCAGAGGACTCTGTTGTAGGAGACTCTTGTGGAGCACTTGTCATGGGGGAAGAGGGCTTGGGCCTCAGGGTTGTGGGTGTAGGCGTGGGGCTGGTGCTTGGAGCTGCTGTGGAATAGAGTGTGGAAGTGGGAGCAGATGGCAGCCGGGTGCTGAGAGGGCTGCTGGGGGCAGGCGAAGAGCTGGGATTTGGAGATGATGTTGCCAGAGGGAGTTCTGTGCTGCTTGGTGGGCTGGTCTCTGTGGAGACAGAGGTCTTGGAGGTGCTGCTGATGGAGGTGGAGGCCGTGGTCTTGTGTGTGGTCAGAGGGGGCTCAATGTGCGGCTCAGTTGACCTTTTATGGGTGACGGCTGTTGGGAGGAAAGCACAGGTCAGCTTGGGATGAGGGAAAGAGGGTAAGGGAAAGGGGATGGTTATAAGTCTTGAACTGGAAGCATGAGTAAAAATGGTAGCTCTGGGCTGCACAAATATTCTTGGTAAAGTTGGAGATCTGGGGTTGTGGCTTCTTCCTAAAAGCTGTAATAATTTTCCCCTCTAAAAAAAAAAGGGAAAAGGACAGGGTGCCTTCCAACAGGAAAGTTCGCTCTGCCTCTTCCTGGAAAAGTGTCCTATCCAGATGTGCATGTCACCCTTCAGTGAATAGGCAGGCTCTAAGGACTGCTGAGTCTGAGCCAATGAGGCCAGGCTACAGGGGCTAGACCAGTGCCACAGCGTCA